TGACAGATAGTCTGAATCTATCCCAAGTTGACTCAGGCTACACCAATCCGAATTTAAAGGTACTTGGACACAGATTTGAAGTTAATACTTTCTCTATAATATTATGACTTATGTATTTTAATAACATTTCACACAAAAATTAATTAAAAATCATATTTCATTTCAAAGTTATTAAAACTTCAAATTTTTTGGCGGGTTTGATTGAAACAAAACAAACACACAATATATTGTCAGTGCGTGCAGTTGTGGTGAGCAGACTTTGACAATTGAACACACCCGGTAAATCGTAAACATCAACAATAACAGAGCTTGTGCCCTGTTAACAAAAACTGTGTACATAACACGAGTGTGATCGATTTGCTAAACTCTGTACACAAACACTTAGCTAGGATTGACGATATTGTGAAGGAGTTTTGCTTTCTAACATTTCTACTCTGAATAGAATATTCAAATAGAATTATTTTTCTGGATTAAAGTTTTAATATTTCTCATTAAAATACAACAAGATTGCCACTTTTCCTAAGGATTAAGAATTAAGTTAAAATTTGTGAAAGTGCAAGGATGTGTCAATCAAACCCGCCAAAAATTTTGAAGTTTTAATAACTTTTGAATGAAATAAGATTTTTAATTAATTTTTGTGTGAAATGCTATTAAAATATATAATTTGCGATATTATACAGAAAATATTAACTTCAAATCTGTGTCCAAGTACCTTTAAAGAGACCGAATTAGCTATCCCAATTTCGGCCATGGGTAAATTGAGATTGAACAGAGACGTATTATAGACTTGTACGTCTCTGGATTGAATGAAAAATAAAACATGTAGTTAAAAATAAAATGATTCTGAGACATAGTTTTATAATTTTAATAACTTGAGACTAATTTTTTGGTGCTAGATCCATTATGACGTCATAATCAATTTCAACTTTCTTTTTCCCGTACTTTATGGCTTTAGCAGAATTACGTAGAAAATAGGGTATTTTCATGTCATTCAATTTGAAATCATATGAAAAGTAAACCGGATACCTATATTAAATTTGATATTGTTTTAAAGAAGAGGCCATGAACATACTAATTACCATTTTCCGAGTCACTGTAGGCAATCTGGATACAGTTCCTTTGCCGAATACTAAAAAAACTCCCGTATTCATGACTGATTTTCTTAATTTTTCATTGAAAATGACAGATTAAAATACATATTTTCATCTTGTTTACCTATAAATTATGCCCCGAAACACCTTATTTGACCAAGTTAAAGTTGTAAAGCATCAATATTTTAATTTATTTATAAAGTTTGATAAATCTGTAGGCACCTTTCATTTACTAGATCTTGACCTTAAGGTCAAGATCTAGTAAATGAAGGATGCCTACAGATTTATCAAATTTAAGAAATAAATTCCTGTAATGATGCTTTATAACATTAGCTTGGTCAAAAAATATATAATTTATAGAAAACCAAATGAAAAACCATATTTTAAACTGTCATTTTCAATGAAAAATTAAGAAAACCAGTATCGAAAATGGTTTTTCCAAATCAGACAAAGAAAATGTATCCAGATTGCCTACAGTCTTTCAGAAAACGGTAATTTGTATGTTCTTTGTCTCATCTTTAAAATAATATCAAATTTAATATAGGTATCCGGACTACTTTTCATGTGATTTCAAATTGAATTCCATGAAAATACTTTATTTTCCACATAATTCTATAAGAACCGTAAAGTACGGGAAAAAGAACGTTGAAAGTGATTATGACGTCACAATGGATCGAACACTGAAAAGTTATTCTACAGTCATTTACTAGATCTTAACCTTAAGTGTGTGTGTGTTTTTATGGACAGTCCCATTTCTCTAAGGTCTATCCCACTTTAAAGTGAGATAGCCCCATTGGCTATCTCATTCTCCTGGTTAGTTTTGCACACTGTGGATGCCCTGTGTTATTATTAAACAGTCTATGAATTCAAAAAAATAATACCAATACAAGTGCCTGTGATTTAAAAAAAATAATAATACCAAAGCCTGTGATTTCAATGTGCCCTATTTGATTCTTAGATGACCATGCTTTTTCAGGATCTATATTTAACACAATCTTTATGCATCAAAATAGTCAGACGGCATGACATGAAATATGCCGCCCACTGACTGGTTCTGGTCGTCTGTTACTTAAAATAAAGGTTAAAATCAAAGGAAAACAATTTCATTTAGGCTAAACATTGCTGTAGTGTAGCATACACTTGTATATTAATCTCTATTCATTCATAATAATATTCATTTGATGAGTTACTCACATCGAAACACATTTAACAAATAGGAATCAATAATGATAAAAATGTTCACAATCGAAGAATCACCTTTTTTTTTAGCTTTTCAAACTTTTTCTTCTCTTAAACAAAACGGAAGTTATTGAGGGTCAGTTAAATCTCAATCTGCTCCAATCATTTTTCCGGAAATTTAACGATTGTTGAAATTTAACAGGCTTACCATTCGTTGCTCATTGTTTTGTTCAATTTTAATTTGTAAACAAGAAAATCCTTTTTAATAAAACTGTCTGTCGTTAATCCAAAGGATCCATAGAAAAAATGAACTACAAGCATGATCACGTGATTTCAGCCATTATGCTAAGTTTAGGAATGTGTAAGGCAATGGGATTCACACAATCCCAACTGAGATAGAAAAGGAGTGAAAAAAATGCCTGGACAGGTGGAGCGTTGGCTAGAAACGTTCATGTGTAAACAATATGCTGAAACTTTTGAAGCTTATGGATTCAAAACGCTCCAATCGGTAAGAGGTTTATACAAATATGATCCAAAATGGCGTCTTTTATTTTGCTTCTACAGAAGAAACTGTTGATAAACGAAGAAGCACCTTTAGTCTGTATCTTTAGTTTATCCTTTTTCCTGTTTTTTTTCAGTTATGTCAACTCCAACTGCCTCAACTGCAAATTATGGGTGTTGCACACGAACACTGTGAACAAATATTAGACAACGTGGATATCCTCAGACAGTCAATGTGTGGTATGAATCATTTTCATTGACATAGTACTGAGTTAAAGGCAGTTCAATTCCCAACTTGTGATTTTGTTAATGTTAAGAGTTCTGTTGGCAATCGTGGAACTTACAAACATCAACAAAACATTTTTTATAAAACAAAAGAAAGACGTATAGCCGTTCAGGCATTTAGTTCCTGAATGATCTGATTACTATATGGCACATGAAATTCACAAAAACGAGATAAACGTGGTTTCACATTTAATAAACCAAGTTTATAGACTGTAAAGTTTATGGATTTTAAATCATAATTAACAATATTAATCTATATTTCACATCTCTAATCCATAATTAATACAGTGGAGTCGCCAGTTCCGGGTCGTCTCCTATTCCGGGTCACGCGTGTGTATTTTATGCCTAGTGTTAAAATTTAATCGCAAAAAACTTAATGAATATGCTGGTCGTGAAGAACTGGTCTTTCTGTATGTAATTAATTACAAAATTTTGAATATCAACTTTAAGAGAGCATCCGACAACCATAATTCTGAAACGCACGCATTAAAGACTTGTATGTTTCTGCTGCGGTGACGGGCTACTTTCATTTTTGTTTGCTGCAGAAAGGCTGATATAAAAGTTCTAGATAAATAATAAGAGCTCAAAAGTATGGCAAATGCATTTAGTTTTAATTCAGAAATCAATCATAATGATCGCTGCTCAAATAAAATTATAATGATTATTAAATCAAACTGTAGTAGTTTCTCCAATTGCGGGTCACGCAATCTCGTGGCATGAACATCTCAAAATTCTATGTACAAAACCAATCGACAACCATGTATTTGCCTTGATTATCAAAAGTATTCTAACTGGAAAATATTTTTTCTAAAAATTAAAATGGAGTTAACCCTTCAAATGCATTTTTTAAATAAATGAATTTAATTGTATTATTTTTAATCCTAATACATTTTTTACATTCTGCATACTGCAATTTGTTTTGTTGTAATTGTTTTAAAAATAATTTAAACATATTTCTGTGATTGTTTTACTGTTTTCCAAGCTGCATGAATTGTTTTATGTTTCAACATCATAAAAATCGTGTTCCGAAACGTTCCATGAATATTACAAGACCGTGAAGTCAAATGACCCGGAAATGGAGAAAATGATTCGTAACTGGGGAAGCTAGGCCTTGCTGAAATACCCCTTTAAATATTTTTCCCTTGTAGCTATTTTGAAAACGGAAAGGTGTTTGGATGACTCACTATTTGTTCTTTCAATACATATATTGCATAAAATATAAATTGCACAGATTTGCAAAATATCAACGAAACACCCTGACGTGACCCGGAATTGGCGACTTCACTGTATGATCTATGTATCACAGGTGTAAACTATACTATAACATTGAAAACAATCAATTGCGATTTCAAATATCATACTTTATCTGATAAATATGGCTCCACAATTTGTAAATCTTAGCTCATGATGACAGTATCAATTCCTTAAAGTGAAATATATCTACTTTTTTCAGGTACAAGTAGCATGACTCATTATCAGGACAACATGTACAATGCATATAGCAGCAGACTTCCAAACATTAACCAGATGCATAACAGTAGTTCAAACATGGTAAATATCAGTAACAATATGTTTTCACAGCATTTAGCTAACGTGGACAAAGTTTGAAGAGGTTAACTTGATCATGTTTATGATATACCTCCTGCATTTTTGTAAATTATGTTAGTTTAAGAGTCAATTTGGTCGACAGCCACTCAATAGGAAAATATTCCTTTTCTATTTGTTTTCTCTGTAAGTTACTAGAGTTGATTTCTTGATCATTTAGGCCATAAAAAAAATATTCCTAGATTCTCACTATTACCCGCCCGCCCCATTTTGAAATTATTCAATTTGTTTTCTGTTTAATCATTAAATACACTAGAAATATATTTAATAGATGTGTGTCACAAAACACTTATTTTTCATTTGATTGAGTGATCGTATATATTTTAATGAGATATCTCGATTTACCATTTTTTATAAACAAGTCAGGTAACCCCAAAACCTTATTGAGAAGAAGGGAGGGCATATTGCTTTGCTGCATGTATTGTGTGTGTAGGTCCCGACGGGCTACCCCCTAGCCCGTCGGTCCACTTAGTTTCCGTTCATTTTCTTCACAACCGTTGCACATACTGAAATGAAATTTGGTATACAGATATATCAGTTGAATATCTTGGTCAAGTTTCGTTTTGGGTACGATCACGCCATTTTTGACAGAGTTATGCCCCTTGGACTTTGAAAAATTCCAATTATTTGCAGTTTCCATTCATTTTCTTTACAACCGTTGCACATTCTTAGATGAAATTTAGTATACAGATATATCACATGAATATCTAGGTCAAGTTCTGGTTTGCACATACTGAAATGAAATTTGGTATGAATATCTAGGCCAAGTTCTGTTTATAGTATCGAATATCTAGGCCATTTTTGACAGTGTTATGCCCCTTGGACTTAGAAAAATTCCAATTATTTGCAGTTTCCATTCATTTTCTTTGCAACCGTTGCACATACTGAGAGAAATTTAGTATACAGATTTATCAGATGAATATCTAGGTCAATTTCTGTTTTGGGTACGATCGCACCATTTTTCACAGAGTTATGACCCTTGGACTTTGAAAAATTTCAATTATTTGCAGTTTCCATTCATTTTCTTTGCAACAGTTGCACATACTGAAATGAAATTTTGTATACAGATATATCACATTAATATCTAGGTCAAGTTCTGTTTTAGGTATGATTGCACCATTTTTGACAGAGTTATGCCCCTTGGACTTAGAAAAATTCCAATTATTTGCAGTTTCCGTTCATTTTCTTCACAACCGTTGCACCTGCTGAGATGAAATTTAGTATACAGATTTATCAGATGAATATCTAGGTCAAATTCTGTTTTGGGTACAATCGTGCCATTTTTGACAGAGTTTTGCCCCTTGGACTTGGAAAAATTCCAATTTGGGGGGAGGGGGGCATAAGTGTTTTACAAACATCTCTTGTTATTTCTGTTTTTCTTCGTCTTAATTTTGATTGGGATTGGTATTCATCTACCATTCTACGTTCGTTTTAAATCCCGCGAAAGTCGACATGATTTTGACAGCTGAAAAGATGGTAAATGCTGTAATACATGCGTATATATAATTTATATTTTAAACAAGGGTCATTGGTTGAAAAAGATTGGTAATAATGTGAAGGAAGAGATAATTGAACTTTTTACTGTGACTTTTATTCGAGTATTGTAAATAAAATTACACCGATTGACCAGGTCATTAAAAAATCTGCAAAATTGAAAAAATAAGAAATATTAAATAAAAGCCGCCCGCCCGCCTCGATTTTCAAAAAATTCGGATGTAAATCTAGCAATTTATTTATTATGGCCTTATCGGAAATGTAAATTTCGCTAAAAACTTTGTGTCTGAATGCTAAGGAGGCCTAATATGCATGTAAATCTTGTGCAGTCTTTGTGTTTGACATCAGTTGGAGGGGACTATTAAAACTGACATGGGAGACCTTGTATAATTTAAATATATTAGTCTACAGTTTAAAAATCTTAAATTTACAATTTTATTTTACAATGATTCCTTAAAACAATGTCATTTTAAGAAAATCCTAACTATGCACTTATTGTTTCTTTAAACATGTTAAATATTTGACCTGGGTGAAAGGTCTGAAATTGGAACTAAATCAAAATTAAATAATATGTCTAGGTTTTCACTAGACTGACTAATACCATTTAAAGGTTACAAGTTCCTCATGTTTTTACTAGTTTCATACTTATACTGACATGAAGTGATAGGTGTACTTCATTGCATGAAATAAGGATAAGAATTTTTATAAAATAATTTTATTTGACATTATTTATTTAATAAACTCTACATGATACATCTTTAGTTTTATTTTTTGAATATATTGTTGATGTTTTTGAAAGCAATAGTATGTCTAGGTGGTGCAACCTTGAAGATTATGTTTTTCTACTTAGGTGTGACTGAGAAAAAACTTTTATTTATATGAACATTTGTCAACCAAAAATTCTGTTAATTTATTCATATAGTATGATACAGTTGTCCCATAAATTTGCAATTTTTACCCTATTCTGTATTCTGTAAATTCTTTGAAATTTTATTTGTCAAAACAATTAAGGGGTTGTAATGGCGTTAAGAAGGGGATGTTTTTTTTCTCATTATTCTAAAAAAGTTTCTGGCATAGATCTAGGAAATATTGAAATGGGCTACTGAGAAATAAAAATGTATTCAGAGTATTTGTCTTGAAATTCCAAAAAAATTAAAGAGACAAGAGATGTAAAAGACTAGCAATTAATGTCGATTTGTTGCAAGAGTGTTCAGCGCCATGTGACCATATAATGTCTTGTTTATATTATAATAATTTGATAAATATTCAGGGTATCAAGCTAAAATTTTCAACATTTCTTTATTGTTTGATGTTCCTTAAAAGTTTTGAAAGCATATATTACACAGTATCGAGTTTATCGCATCAATCCATGAACTTTTCAAACAACTCTTGTACTAATACATTTTAACATTGCAGCAAATGGGTAATAGGATTGGAAACATGACTGGCTACAATACCCAAGGCTATATGAATAATCAGAGTTCAATGATGCAGCAACAGTCACAGCCACAGCAAACATATCCTGGGCATAGTGCTATGTATTCCATTGGTCAGTCTAATCCTTACATGGGGTATGGAGGCCCAGCAGATCAAAGGCACTATCAGTATACTGCCATGGATAGGAGGGGAAGCAACAATTACTGTGCTGCTCTAGGACCTGGCAATTCAAATGGTAACAGAAACTTAATCAACTGACAAATTATTTCTTGTCAGATTTCTGTGGGAAGAGTGAACGTGTAGAAGTTGTAACATTATTGTTTATTTTTCTTCAGGTTACTCAAATAGACCTCAACCTCAAAATATGTCTAACCAACAAGTGCCACAGACGATGATGCATACACACATGCGTCACAGCCCTGCTAACCAGAATCCACAAGAAGTTGCAAACAACATTTTACAGATGGCAGCTTCTACATACATGCCAAACCAGACTGTCACAATCCCTCTGTCTAAAAATCGTTCAGCGCCATATCACATCCCACCCAAGTCTCCACATAACAGTTATTCTATGCAGGGAAATTGCCCAACTTCAACTCAGCAGCATCAACAACACATTGGACAGACTCATCAATTTGCTTATCCTAATTCCTCCCCACATCAGTCATCACAAGGACCATGTGCCTCTCCAATCAGTCCAAATCCAGCATACATGCACAGTCCAGCATCTCATCACAGTGGACACAGCATGCCAAATTCCAGTCCTCAGTCAGTCCACAGTCCAACCCTTGCACTTAGTGGACCATGTGTCAAGTCACCTCATACCGTGATCCCCTCTCCAGGCGGGGAAGTGTGTTCACCTTGTCAGATGACTTCTCCCATTGGCTGTCAGACCAGTGCTCCCAATGCATCTCCACACAACCAACAGTTACTTGTAAATGTTCCAAGTGGAAATCATGCTATGTTCCAGGGCCAGCTGACATCACCAAACCAGCAAGCTAATATGAATGACTACTCACCTAAAACTAACCCAATTACCCCACCTGCTAGTCATAATATTTCCCCATATAGTAACTCCTCCAGATCCTCAGTGCATAGTCCACAACTTAAGAACTCAATACCTGTGTCCAGTGTTTCTGTGAATTATTTTAGTGCTTCAGACATTCCAGAGCCACCTCAAGAAAAGCCAAACTCGAATCCTTTGCAGTCTCTGCAGAAATTATGTATGCTACCTGACCATCAGGTGATTGATCCCAAAAGTGTCGTCAATGATGCTTGTCTTGAATCACCACAACCATATGACCACCAAAAAAACTTGAATAGCGATGCCGACAACCATTGTGAAAATCAGGGCCAGGTTTCGGCATCGAAAATAAAAAGTCCTGGAAAACTTGTTAACTCTAAAGACTTTGAAACAGAAACGGTTAAGAATTGTAATGGTATATGTAGTGAAGGCTTAAAGGATATGAGTGACTTATCTCAAAGGTTATTTGTAGATTCTGATAAAAAGGAAAAACAGCATCAGACAGCTGCCAGTGAATCTTCTGAAATGTCAGAAAGACAGATTTATGGTAGCAGTATTGATTCCAGACACAATGATAATGTGTCAGAAGTTGGATGCTCGGAAGAGAAAACTGATGCACTGAGAGAAACACAATGTAGGAAGGAAGGAAAGGAGGACGATGAAGAAAAGAAATCTGAACAACATCAAGGAATTGAGGACCAGAGTGAAGCACAGGAATCAGAACAACATCAAGGAATTCAGGACCAGAGTGAAGCACAGGAATCAGAACAACATCAAGGAATTCAGGACCAGAGTGAAGCACAGGAATCAGAACAACATCAAGGAATTCAGGACCAGAGTGAAGCACAGGAATCGGAACAACATCAAGGAGTTCAGGACCAGGATGAAGCCCACCAGCTCCTAGAATCACATCTCACAAAAAAAACACAACAAACAGAGGTAACAGAGGAAGTGAAAGATAAAGAAAATCAACTTACAAGTGATGTTGAGGAAGTGACAGTTTCTGTGAAAGAAATATCTGATAAAAGTGTTCTATCTTTCCCAAACTGTAGTCTTGTTCAGTGCAAAACAATTGTACATTCTGAAACTGATGGTTGTGAGCAGGTCATCTGCAAGCCAATAGGTTGTAAAGAAAATGATGATATTCTCTCAGAAATCATTGATTATGAAAATGTTGCTAAAGAAAACAATAATGAGATCATACCCCAGTTGCATAGTGATGAGAATTCTTGCATTCAGTATTACAGACCAAAATGTATAAAACAATCCAAAAGAATGAAAAAATTGCATTATAAACCAAGCTTAAAACTGCATTCACAGATGCTTTCTAGAGCAAATGAAAATCCACTATCAGTAAAGACATATTCTCGCAGAGATCAGCTTGCTGCCAAATATCGATGGAGAAGGTCACACATGCCAAGATCAAGGTCGTTAAGGGGTGTACCAGCTGGCCTAGCCAATACTACAATGAACAATTCTGTTAGTTACACTGATTCAGACAGTGATGATGGTGGAGTGTTACTAGTAAGGGAAGACATAGATTTTACTCAGGACCAGGAATCCCCATATCCTATGGACAGCAATTCAGATGACATGTCTCAGGAGGAAGATATCAGTTCTTCCATTGATACAGAGAAAGATGATATAAGTCTTATAGCTGAAAAATCCTCCCCACCTTTACCTCCTCTCATACAAGTTAATGGATCAGCAGAATCTGTTGAAGCTATTGACATTATTGATATGGCCTTAGACACAACTAAAAACTCACAAACATTAGCTGTTGGCTGTGCTAAAAATCAAGCAAATATAAATGGCAAATCAGATCAGGGTCTAAAGAAAAGGGACAGAAATAGCATTAATAAAGATATTAGGAAAAGTTCAGCAACTTCAAGCAATGGACACATTTCATCAAGGCAGTCTGAGCAGAGGAATGGGAGAACTGATGTTACTTGTAGAGAAAGGAAACCCAGAAAAGTAAAAAACTGCTCCCCTGTCAAAGATGTTAAATCAGACAATGAAGAGGAAGAGAAAAGCAGTACACCGAATAAGTCATCCAGCAGTAGAACTCCTGCGAAGAGATCCAGTCGTAAAAGAAGGCGGGCCTCATCACTGAAGTATGGCGACTTGTACTACAGTGCTGACTACGTCCTGGACTCGGAGGAGGAAATGGAGGTAGAAAAAAAGAGTAAAATGGTTAGAAAGGAGAGTGGTACCAATAAAGACAGCATGAAGAATGAAGAACCAGATGTCATTATTTTAAATGATGAAGAGGAATCCATTGTGGAAAAAGATGGTGCTGTGTCCTCACTTCCTAATGACCAAAGTAAGAAGGCAGATTCCAATGTCTCAGGTTTCATACAGAGTGCGGAAACTAGCAAAAGGACCAGATTAAAAGCTGGTGCAAAAATGACTCTTGATAGTGTGTCTATAGAGGAATTGTCTAGCATTATTTTGAACAAGGAAACCTGTTCAGAAAATGAAAAACAACAGAATTCTAGTGTTTCACATTTTGTGGATGATGAAGGTGATTTAAAATCTCTGATTTCAATAAGTGATGAAGATATGGAAACTGAAGAGACAAGAACACCAGAAAGTGTAGTAAAAAGCAACAAAATAACAAAAACTCAAAAAGTAAAAAATAAGTCTAAAAGTGGAAAAGGCAGACTGAAAAAACTTCAAAAATCTCATGCCAAATATGACATGGTTGATGAAGCGACGGAGGAGATGAACTTAAGAAGGACTGTCAACATTGTGAAAAAGAAACACCAGAAACGTGATAAAATGAAAGCAGATGAGAGTAAGAGTCGAATTACAGGACCATTTTTACGCATCAGAAACACCCAGCCATCCTATTGTCGTGTGGTCAACCAATATGAAGAAGATCCTGAAGTATCGGGTCAGAAGATTACAAAGAAAGTCTCTACACCCATAACAGTGTCCACTGTTCATATGTCAAAACTCTCTGTAGAAAAATCAGTTTATGTGCCTAGTACTTCTGTAACAGAGGACTCTAATTGGGTGTGTCAACTGTGTCATAAACATAGCAGCTTTAAATTTCTAGGGGACTTATTTGGACCATATTACTGTGAAGAAAATTTGCCATCAACAAGAGGACAGGATTCACTATCTCTTGATAAAAAATCAGATTTGAAGAAGGGCAAACAAAGAAATGTGATCGATTTAAATTTAGGTGACTTGATGCAAAAAACCAAAAAACAGGTGAAGACAGCCAGTCAGTCCAGACCTCCAGAAGAAGTGTGGGTTCATGAAGATTGTATTGCCTGGGCTGATGGGGTACTTCTTATAGGGCAGAAAATCTATGGTCTTAAAGAGGCTACATCTGTTGCCTCAGCCACGGTAAGCACCTTATGACCTGTCTTTTTTAAATCAAAAGGATTTTCATTTTTCTGTAGGTTTAAAACATGATATTAAGAAAACAAGTTGCTTTTATAAGAAATCAAAATTGTTCATCCCTGAGTCCCTGACACTTTGCTGTATTAAGTTTATTTATCTGTATTACTGTAAATTTTGCATGTGTTATATTTGTCTGAAATTGACTTTTTAACAAGTTACCATAAATTTGATATACTGTTACTAATCATTGAATGTGCAAGTGCTTTTTCAATTTTGTCAAAGGCTCTATTATAAAAAAAATACACTGGTAAATGTATTTTGTTAATCATTTTTTAAAATGAATTTATGTTGAAGTTTAAAGCCTTTGACAATTATATAATCTATCTAATTCACATGATTCAGGGCTAGAAATATTTTTTTTCAATGGTCACAAAAAATTTTTACCAGACAACTTGGTACTTTCATTGTCCCACTGGGCCAGTAGATTTTAAAAACACTGACCAAAACCAATATTTTAATTATAATATTTCGTTTATATTGTGTTACTAATTTGTAAAATAACAAAGAAATGACAGAGCTTGGATGCAAAGCCCTATCAGGTTCAATATCCGGAGTGTGAATGAATTTTGTTTAGCAAAAAAAAAAGGGAAAAAAAACCTGCACAAAAGGCATATGCCCTCTTCAATCAACTATCCCAGATTTAAAATACACTGGCCACAGACCAGTGAGCCATAAATTATTTGCAGCACTATAATGACTTTGATGTAATTTGTAAACAGTTGCTAATGAATGACCCTTTTTTGCACAAGTGAGACATCTTATTGTGATATCAGTGACTTCTGTTCAAAATGAAGTATTCATGATTTCATTGACAAATTATTTTTGGATTAATTCCATGCATGGGGCTTTCAGATAAAACTTATTTAAGTTATTTTTGCATTTTTCAGTCACCAGTTTTGACGATATCTGGAGAACAAAAAAAAAAAAACAGAATGAGGAACATTGGCACCATCGGAAACCCATAGGTGATCTCGTCTTACTTATCACGATAAGTAAAGACAAGATCACCAGTGGGTTTCTGACGGTGGAACATTGGTTTATCTAAGTATTTCTCTGTTATAGATGTGTTCAGCTTGCAAGGAGTATGGTGCTATGGTTGGGTGTCTACACAAAGGATGTTCTCAGAAATATCATTATATTTGTGCACTAGAATCAGGTCTGTATAAAAATGAAACAAGTACCATATTATAAATGTCACAGAGATACATTTGAAAATCATTCTGTGCTCCTGTAATGGAAGATTAGGGGCAAATAATTTGCTCTGTCCATCCATCTGCCTGCCACAAAAACTTTAACCTTGCCCATAGCTTTTGATTAATGGCAGTAAAGTTTATATTCATATCTTTTTTCCTTGTGAAGTGACCTTACTTCAGTTAATTACTTGAACCTTTTCCATAATTTTTAGCTCACCTCAACAATGATGTGGGGGGGTCTCTTAAGTTATGTGATACCCTATCATATCACAGGATCAAGTTTTTGGTGCAATTTTCATTTTAAGTAATCCTTTGCCCTACATTTATAAGAGATGCATGGAAGATGCTTCTAGTGTGTTTCATTGTACTATCCAAGGTTTCGGGTACTGAGGTTTCACCAAAGGAATGACCAGATTAGTGTTTTTGGAGCAGATAAAAGTTTTTGACCCAGGCCTCATTTCCAAGTAATATGTATTATCACCCCTATTTTTACCAATCTTGCATTGATGATATATCTAATAATGCACTACCAGGCTTGCTTTGGACGCTGGATCTGACTGACATTTTCCCAATGAATGAACTGGTTAAAGTTTTTTAAAACAGGTTCATTAAGCCCTATGTCCATCCATCTTATTGTCCTCTTTTAAAAGCAGGCTTCTTTGAGGTGTTCTCTATGATATATATATGTAGTTAATTTCTATTTTAAATGTTTGAATAAAAAATAAAAATGCAATTGCAATTTATTTCAATCTTTTTAGGATGCTATATGGATGAAGAAAACTTTTCCTTGTTGTGTGTAAAACATAAGGTAAGCTGTTTTAAGGATCCATGCCTCAAACAAAAAATTGATTCAGGGATTCATACATTGAAGGATTTTGAATATAAATTAGATGATAATTACAAAAAAAAAAATTCCCTAAAATATTTTTAAAATTTATTACAAGATTTTCCACACATTGTTAAGAATGTGACAACACCTCACAAAATTATATATTACATTATACTTTGTTTCTCAGTTACTTTAGATAAAAGCTGACATTGATTCAAAAAGTGAAACAAAGAATGAAGAAAACATGGATGTTTGAGAAAGAAAAGATAAAGTTGAAACTTAAATACCCTATTCTCAGTATTTACTATTTAGGACCCCACAATATTGTATTAGCGGAATTTTAAGTGTCGTTTGAGTTTTGGAATTGTTAGCAAGGGTACTAAGATTGCTGATATTGAATACTGCTGACAATTTATTCTGTATCGGCTGTTAAAGCTTTCTCTTTTGGCATAAAAAATGGCTAAAAGTACTAACAAAAAATATATAATTTTGATGGGAAATTTTGCAAAATTTGCATGTTAAAAAGATTTCCAATTATATGGCAGATGACCTATAGTAATTTCTCAGTTTATTTAATATTTTGTCCATAAACAATTTTGTTTCAAAGACTACACTTTTCATGTTTTCGGCCACAGGTATTGATAAAATTAAATGGATAGGCTTGCTTATCACACAATTTTTGAATACATTTTTTTTGTTTTAAGTTTTTCAATACTTTGGATATTTAAAAATGGTATAAAAATATATGTACAAATGGAAAGTGTAGTAATTGGCTAATTAAATTAGCCTAATTTGACATGTCGTCCAAATAGCCTTTTTTTGATAGACTTTATATTGAAAATTTCAATGTTTGTATATCACATTATACAATATTGTATTATGTTGTTTCATTTTTTTTTTTTTGCCCATTAGACAGTCCTGCAAGTGACTGGAATGTAAATTTGATCTCTTGTTTAAATTTGTCTAATGTTTACAAAAATTTAATCCTCTCTTCTTTTTTTTAGGATAAGAAGATGAAACAACTAGAGACATCTTAAAACATCTTACAGCAAAAGGTATGACATGCATGAAACTTTTGTAGTAGTATTATAAGCTCACTGCAGCAAAAGGTTTAAGGCTGCATTTATCTTTAAGTTTAACAATCAAATAGAAGTACAATTCCTCAAACTGCAAAGCAAAAATAAATTAGATAAAAAGTACAGTGTCATAAGCTCAAAGATATGTAATATATGAACTAGTGAACAAAGTCCTATATCTGGAAAGAATGAGTGCACTTAGTACGTCATTTGGAACCTTTTCGGCTACCCATTTTAAGCTTTACATTACAATGTATCGCTAAATTAATCTAAGATTATTTTGCAAGCATATGCTTTTGATATTTATGCTTTGAAATTTTTGTCATACATATTTCTATAATCAAAGACAATGTCATTGGAAAGAACATGTATATGCCTTTAATTCCAAAAATTTGAACTGGACCATTTTCGAATTTGAGGTATCTGCAATAAGGCGGAGACATTTAAATCGCATGGATGTGGAATGTAAACATTACCACACATGCTTTTTCGCAATCAGATTCTACACTACGAATTTAAATGGAGAAGAGAGAGAGAGATTGTGTAGTTTCATGGTTCACAAATAATAAATGATTCTAGTGTTTAGGGATGAGGTATATGTCTCGCCATGCAGACCATAATATGGAGGCAACACAAACCTATATTTACAAAGCACACTTTCAATACCAGAATTCTTTCAAAACACCCCTAACAAAAAATACAAAGTAGAATAAGAGATAAATAATCTTCAAACCCTATTAAAATTTGCGTGAAAATCTTCCATAGTTTGAAGTTGGAAGTAAGATAGATACTGTCACAATAGAAACTTCCAATGACAAACACAATGAAATGTTCAATGAAAGCGTCAGCGTGTCGAACAGTGGAATGTCACGTGAGTAAAGTGATTATGATATCAATAGTTGACACTCAAGGACCTCTTAATTTAGTGGCTAACATGACTGTAGTTTTGAGACTTTTTAAAAAAAAAAATAGATATTAGCTGCAACTTGACCAACATTGTCCTTTGGATATGTGTAAGTTTAAATTAAAATACACATTTCTGTGCAAATGGCCAAGTTGCTGCTCGATGTAAACAACGTTGTTGAAAACTGGTATGCATAAATAGCAATAGAAATGTGACAAAACTGTTAGACCCCTGTCTCAAAAGCTAGTGTCACTCAGCATTATTTAATACTTTCCTTTAGTATAATATACCAGAACCTGCTCTTAAGATATTGTTTAATACCTATAAAACATAAATTTGAGGAATTTTGGAAATTTATTTTGCGCAAAACACTAGGACCCAAATCTCATTGCTTAAGTGCACTCATTCTTTGGATGATATAAAAGATTATTTGTAGAATACTTTTGTATAGTAGTTCCAAGGTCAAGGCTTTTAACGCACCTAAGCCGAAGGCTCAAGTGAGCTTTAAACTTGTTCATTGTCTGTCATCATTGTTGTCGTTGTAAACTTTTCCCAATTGCATCTTTTTCTCAAGAACCATGGGGCTAATTTCAACCAAACTTGCAACAAAGTATCCTTGGGTGAAGGAGATCCAAGTTTATTCAAATGAAGGGCCACACCCTTTTTCAAGGGGAGATAATTACTGGTATGAATTAGTGAAAAATTAATGGCATCCTTTTTAAATCTTCTCAAGAACCACAAGACCAGGAAAGATGAAACCCTTGTGGATGTTAAGGTGTGGCCACAATGAGGAATTAAAATTTTACACAAGAATATAAAGGGAAGAAAAATTCTCCAGAACAGAAAAGGTATGGTTAGTCAAATTGACTTTTAGACATCTGTATGTAGTGAAGATTCACTTTTGTGGAAGCATCCTGGGGTTATGTAGTGTAGAATCTAAATTGTCTAAATCATGACTCCAGGGGATAGGATGGGGCAACAGTAGGTATTACATGGGGGGATCTGGTGAAGAAGAGCTTAGCTAAATTTTCTCAGATGAGTGATGTGGCCTGTGGGCCCCTCGTTTAAAAAATCTGTTGATGAGGAAGAGAAGTGCCTAAATGATGGAGGTTAGCATTGTGGCCCATGGGCCTTTTGTTCTTATACAGAATTTGTTTTGATAAATCAGGGTAAAGTCAAAAGGACATTGGGATAAGTAATTCCGTTATTATCCCAATATGAAGGATATATGACTGCCAATTATTGTTCTCAAATATATACTGAATCAATGGTATGAAATGATTACTAGTATTCCTCAATTAAAATTATTTCTATTTTCAGATGATGAAACTAGCAGATACTAGCGGTGAAAGCCAAAACTTTGTTAATGTGTGAATCTTGATTAAGTGCATAGAAGTATTTTTTGACTTTTTCCAAAGGAAATATATGTGATATTGATCAGAGAGATCAGTAAAATTGATCAGAGAAATCAATAAAAAAAATATTGGAAAAAAATGAATTCTTAATTTTTTTGTGACAAGTAAATGTCTTGAAGAGCTATGGTTAATTTTGAAAGTCTTAGTGGTTGCACTTTTCAGAAGACAGATCAAGGAAATTTTATTCCCATGAAAATTTGTGTGCCTCTACAGTATATAGTTAAAATACATTACTGGTAATATTTTGATGGTGCATCTGTTAGGTCAAATGTAGATACTTATTCAGTTTTTCAAGTCGCTTGCTATTAAAATGATGGAAAATCTTTTCTCTGCCTCATGGTATTTTGCAGATACAGTAAAACTCGGATATAGCTAAGTTCTGGGGACATGCGAATTTACTTTGCTATATCAGTTCACTATAGCCGTAAATTTCCTATATCTGAGTTTGTCAAATCCCTAAAAATTGACAAGGAATAGTTAAAGATTTTGACGGGCATTGCAAAAAAATTTGCAATATTTGTAAAGTCATTATATCTGTGTTTATACTAAATGAGTTTTGCTGTATATTAAATGCATAGTTATTTAAAGTAAAAGTGCCTCTTTCAAAAGTATAAATGGCCTCTGGTACAGGGTTTTGGTTATAGGTAGGGTTTTACTGATCTATATTTTTTAAAATGAATTGTTTCTTTGAAATCTTCTCTGTCCCTGCCCATTTAGCAGATTTAAAAAAGAGAGCTTGGTTATGATGAAATGGAGTGCCTCTTCAAAATTGTGAAAATTTTGCCCACATGTCAGGGGTTCTGTAGGGGGAGCGTTATTGGTTTTACAGGGAAAGAGCATTAATTCTGTGAAAATCTCCCTTTGTATTTATCAGATAAAGTAAAGACAAGATTATGATGATTGAAAGTGTATTGTTCTTTGAAAAACTTCATGGAAGGGTGGGACTCATCTGCTAATATAAGGTATTTGTGAATCTTCTCTGCTCTTCTGAGTATTTGACAGATAGATGCTTGATTATGATGAGCAAGATATCAGGGGTTTTGAAGGTGGGGGGGATATTTAATAAAAGCATTATTTTCTTGAAAATATCTGCCCATGGGTATTTTGCATGCGGTGTCTTCTACCTATTCCCACTTTTTAAAAATCTCAAGTCCACCTATTCCCACTTGCAAAAAACAATACATGTAGATGTTTAGATAGTTAATTTGTTTTTACAGTAACTAGACAAATTACACCTGCTACTTAGATTTACCTGTATTTTGTACGCTTTAAGACAGAAAATAATGAATACATCTATGAGAAAATATGATTTATTTTGGATTTTTGAAATAATAAAAAGGTCTTACACGAAAAAGCAACTTAATATCTTAATTTAAGGACATAAAATAAATAGATTTATTGAAAAATATTTCCATTTCTAATTTTTTTTCTGTGATAAATCTTTGAAAGTTAGTGGAGTTGATTTCTTGAGAATTCTACCGGAATGTAAATTAGGTAGGTTGATAGGTCAGGAGCTAAGGAGGCCTAATATGCACGCAATTCTCATGCGCATCTGTCTCTATGTCTGACGCTCAGGAGGCCAAATATGCATGTAAAATCTCGTGCGGCTGCCTTTGAGTTTGAAGTCAGTGGGTGAGGACTATTGCAATTGGCATGGAGTCGTGTAATTTAAATCTATGTCGACATTTTTAAAGTCTAAATCTACAATTTAATTTCACAGTGAAATGGAAATATAAGGAATTACATGTACTGTCTAGTTAGTATAGTATGCCAGGCACATCAACGGTAGTGGGAAACATGGGATAATTTATGCATAGAGGGCTTCGCTCGTTTTGCAAATTATCCCATGTTTCCCACTATTGTTGATGCCCTGGCGTACTATACTAAATAGACAGTGATTCCTTAAAAGTACCTCTTCCAAAATTGTAAACATCTTGCCTATTTTTTCATGTGTCCTGGTGTAAGGTGGGGCTTTTTTGAATCTATAGTCATATTGCAATAGTCCCTAAGGAGGCAAACAGAGTATTTGTGGTTGTGCTAGAAAGTGCATATGGGGAAATGATTATTTCTCATCAGATAGTCGACGATTTATGAATAAATAAAAAGAATTTATAATAGGTATTCTCCCGCACACCGCTAAAATAACCCGCTATACGGTATCACGTGACAAAGATCCAGAGTATCAGCATGTGGTTCTTCTTCAAGCCTACATATTCATCCTGATGACAATCAGTTCTTTTCATTTATCACTTTTATTGCATCGGTGAATCCATTTGATGAGCAGATGCACTAAAATGTATATTTAAATTTTTAAATCATTTTGCTTTGAAGACAGCCTGAAATAAAAATGACCACTAATCATCTATTTCAGCTTCAAATACCTTGTGCTTCCCTAACCCTAACCCTAACCCTGGATGCTTTTAAAATTGTGAAAGTACTTTTTGAAATGCTAAATTGTGTTTGCGGCCGATTTGAAGCTTTGCGTCAATTTTACAGTACTTGTTAAAGTTGTAATAACCTGAGGTATTTTTGTCCCCCGCTTGAAAAGTGGGGGATATTAATTTGGGTTTGTCCGTCCGTCTTTCTATTTGTCTGTAATTTTTTAAGCTTTTGCAATGAAATTTAGCATGATAAAGAAACCCCTATTGATTTTGAGGTCAAAAGGTCAAAGGTCAACATAAATAAGCAAATGTCTGTAACATTAATTAATTAAAAGAAATTTTACATAACAACTCCCTGTGGCCTATTCCCCTATTGATTTTTCAAAAGGTCAAAGTTCAAGGTCGTAAATTTATACATTCTGTCTGTGTGTAACACTATCACGGGCCAAGAAGATTTTGAGCTTATTCAATATAATTTTATATCAAAACTCCCTAGGACCTCTCTCACCCCTCTCAAAGTGCCCCGTAGTAATAGTATTACATGTCGCTATTTTTAGCACAGGGGCATGAGGAGAGTTATTGCGTATAAAACAGGTTCTCGGCGGACTTCATGTTCTTATTACATTTATTAGAACTGCTTAATAAAGGCTAAATAAATCAAACACCAATTTGTAAAATTTTGAGTGAACAAAAAAAATACTTGTGAGCAAGTGGTATATCTCTCGCTTCACATGCGAGAGGTAAATTTCGGTCGGTCCTTTTGTTTTTTTCTTTTTTTTAGCTCTACTGGTCAGAGACCAGAAGAGCTTATGCGATAGTAATGCGTCCGTCGTCCGTCTGTCTGTCTGTCTGTCTGTCTGTCTGTAAACAATTTTTCAAAATGCTACTCATCCTACAGTTTTGGTCTGATTTCAATATAACTTGGCACACAAGTAGACTACACTAAGATACATAATTCTGTGCATCGGTTTATGATTTCGATATACGGTGTTGCCATGGTTACTAAAAAAAGAATTTTCTGTGAAATTCTTTCAAAATGCTACTCCTCCTACAGTTTTGGTCCGAATTCAATATAACTTGGCACACAAGTAGACTACACTAGGATACATAATTCTGTGCATCGGTTTTTGATTTCAATGAACGGTGTTACCATGGTTACTAAAAAAGAAATTTATATCATCCTCCCACAGTTTTGATTCAAAGGCACACAAGTAGACTACACTAGGATACATAATTTTGTGCATTGGTTTTTGATTTTGATGAACGGTGTTGCCATGGTTACTAAAAATAGAAAATTCTGTGAAATTCTTTCAAAATGCTACTTCTCCTACAGTTTTAGTTTATATAATAAAATGTGGTTTTTGATTTTGATTTAAAAATAGAAAATTCTTGAAATTCTTTCAAAATGCTACTTCTATTCGATTTCAATATAACTTGGCACACAAGTAGACTATACTAAGATACACAATTCTATTTATCAGTTTTTGATTTCAATGAACGGTGTTGCCGTGGTTACTAAAAATAGAAATTTCTGTTAAAGTCTTTCAAAATACTACTCCTCCTACAGTTTAAGTCCGATTTCCATATAACTTGGCACACAAGTAGACTATACTAAGATACATAATTCTGTGCATTGGTTTTTATTTTGATGAGTGGCAAGGATCATTTTTCTATTTATTGCTGTTTTAAAGTCTCAAGTCCCAACTGCTACTTTTCTCTTCCTTTGTTTTAAGTATAAACCAGTAGAGCTACAGTCTCGGCAGAGACTTCTGGTTTAAAATACTTTTCTTTTTTTTTATTAAGTGATAGTATTCGGCATGTGAAATTAAAAATTTATGAGATTATAAAATCATCATTACAGTGTGATAAATATTCCATATAAAAAGAATCTTCTATACACATAATAAAGAATAAGCAATCAAATCTTTATATGCATATTGACATAGATGTATTTTATGATTCAGTATACAAAGGGGATCCGACTTTTTCCCTAAGCGGGGGACACGAATTCTCTGAATTAGCTTGTTTAATCAGATTATGATAACTTCAGCACAACTTGGTCATTAATTAATTAAAAGAAGTTATTCCCCTTTGAAAAGGTATTCCCCTACTCACCCATGTCATTGTAAGAAAAACGCAAGACGTTGCACGGTTTTTAAATGGGGTGTAAAAAATCAATTTGCGTGAAAAGAAAATTGACAAGGTAAAGAAAAGAGGGGGAGGATTGTCCAACTTCGAAAATACTCTGGTGAATTCAATATAAATACATTTGACAATTTTGATAGCTTATCATTTGTGAGAGGGATTCAGACATTTCTTCTCCCAAAAATTCAGTCTTAGTTTATATAATAAAATGTCATTTTTCTCATTTATTCCAAGCTCTCTTATTGGCTCAGACTTGATCACATGATCAAGTATATAACAGCATATAGACTTGACTTACTATTTATAGACTCTGAAATGCATATCGACTTGATACTTCTAAAAATGATAAAAATCTTCTGAAACAAAAACATCAGTGCTCACTTCAAAATAGCATAAACAGTGTATGATGTTATGTTTCTGGAAAAAAATATACTTTATAATGTGTACTGTAGTGATTGGTAGGACATAACGATGCCTTGAATAAGGATTTACTTTATATTAAAACATATTGATAAAATTGGATTTTCATAAATCGATACAAAAGATAAAAAAA